CGGGTGCTTCGGATCACATTTCTGGTAATACCTCATTGTTCTCAACCCTTTCCCTCCAAGAAAAACCCCATTTCATTACCCTTGCAAATGGCTCTAAAACTTGTTCAAAGGGAGTCGGTCAAGTCTCCCTGTCTCCCTCTCTAACTCTGAAATCTGTTCTTTTTGTCCCTAACTGTCCATTCAATTTAATTTCCCTAAGTCAGTTAACCAAAATGTTACATTGTTCAATAACTTTCGATTCAAAATCTTTTGTTATACAGGAGCGTGGCTCGGGGAGACAGATTGGAGAAGGATATGAAGCTGGAGGTTTATACCATTTTGGATCTCGCCCACGGGTATCTTGTGTTGCAGCTCTTCCCCCTAAAGTGTTACATGATCGGTTTGGCCATCCTCACTTGTCAAAGTTAAAAAAGATGTGTCCTGAACTTAGTGGTCTTCAGACTTTAGAATGTGAGTCCTGTCAACTAGGAAAACATGTTAGATCTGTCTTTCCCAAAAGGTCTCAATCAATGTGTACTTCTAGTTTCTCTATTATTCATTCTGATGTCTGGGGACCTAGTCGCGTCTCTTCTTTTGGTTTTAGGTATTTTGTTACTTTTATTGATGAGTATTCTAGATGTACTTGGGTTTATCTAATGAAAGATCGCTCTGAATTGTTACCCATTTTCACATCCTTTTTGAATGAAATCAAGAACCAATTTGGTCATGTAATTAAAGTCTTAAGAAGTGATAATGCTAAAGAGTATTTCTCATTAACTTTTTCTTCACTTCTTAGCTCCCATGGTATTTTACATCAGTCCACTTGTCCTCATACACCCCAGCAAAATGGTATAGCCGAAAGAAAAAATAGACACTTGGTTGAAACGGCTCGTACCCTTTTGCTTAGTGCTCATATTCCTGTTCATCACTGGGGGGATGCCATCTTAACTGCATGTTTTCTTATTAATAGGATGCCCTCCTCCTCCCTCAATAATAAAGTCCCTTTCTCCATTCTCTTTCCCAATGATCCTCTCTTTCACACCTCTCCTCGCGTCTTTGGTTGTGTTTGTTTTGTTCACGACATGTCTCCGGGGCTCGACAAGCTCTCTGCTCGTGCGATCAAATGTGTCTTTTTGGGCTATTCTCGGCTTCAAAAAGGGTACCGGTGTTACTCCCCTGAAACCAAAAAGTACTACATGTCTGCCCATGTTACCTTCTTTGAACAGACACCTTTCTTCTCGCCCTCTGTTCAAGATGTTCATATCCTCCACCAGGTCCTTCCTCTTCCAGTGGTTGAGTCTAATATCTCCAATCCCTCAGTCAGTCCAAGTCATGCCCAAGGTCCTCCCGAACCTTCCTCTCCCCATACTGATATCCTTCGACACAGTACCCCGGTGAGTAATCCTCTTCCAGCAAATGGTGGATCTCCTCCTTCAGATTCTTCTCCGTCACCATCTCCTGTCACGCCTCCTGGTGAAGATGATTCTGGTTGGCCCATTGCTCTCAGAAAAGGTACTCGTTCCACTCGCAACCCTCATCCCATTTATAATTTTCTTAGTTATCACCGAGTGTCGCCCTCCTTTTATTCCCTTTTATCCTCAATATCTCCTGTGGTTATTCCTAAAAATGTGAAAGAAGCACTTGATCATCCTGGATGGCGACAAGCCATGATTGAAGAAATGCAGGCTCTTGACCACAGTCATACTTGGGAGCTTGTGCCACTTCCCCCGGGCAAAAAGGCTGTTGGTTGTCGATGGGTATATGCCATTAAAGTCGGCCCTAATGGTGACATTGATAGGCTCAAAGCCCGACTGGTTGCAAAAGGGTACACTCAGGTTTATGGTCTTGATTATTGTGACACCTTTTCTCCCGTGGCCAAGATGACTACCATTCGATTGTTCTTTGCCATGGCTGCCATTCGTCATTGGCCACTTCATCAGTTGGATATCAAAAATGCCTTTCTCCATGGTGATCTTGAGGAAGAAGTGTATATGGAGCAACCTCCGGGGTTTGTTGCTCAGGGGGAGTCTGGTATGGTTTGTAAATTGAACCGATCTCTATATGGGCTCAAGCAATCACCACGTGCTTGGTTTGGAAAGTTTAGCTCCATTATTCAAAAATTTGGGCTAAAACGCAGTGAAGCAGATCATTCAGTCTTTTATTATCATTCGTCTCCCGCGAAATGTGTTTACTTGATAGTATATGTTGATGATATAGTTATTACAGGAAATGATGCTGCTGGAATATCTCAATTGAAGGAGTACTTGTGTAAACATTTTCAAACCAAGGATCTTGGGAGCCTCAAATACTTCCTAGGCATTGAAGTAGCTCAGTCAAAAGATGGAGTTGTAATCTCCCAAAGGAAGTATGCTCTGGATATTTTGCAAGAAACAGGCATGATTGATTGTAGACCGGTTGATAGCCCTATGGATCCAAATCAGAAATTAACAACAGAAGGAGGTGAATTATTCTCCGACCCGGAGAGATATAGGAGGCTAGTTGGAAAACTAATCTATCTCACTATTACAAGGCCGGATCTATCTTTTGCAGTTGGAGTGGTTAGTCAGTTTATGCAAGCTCCATGTGTTGGCCATTGGAATGCTATCATTCGAATTCTAAGGTATGTGAAAAAGGCTCCAGGGCAAGGGCTGTTATATGAAGAAAAAGGAAGCCTTCAAGTATCAGGATATTGTGATGCTGATTGGGCAGGTTCTCCTATTGATAGACGATCTACTACTGGATATTGTGTTTTCCTTGGAGGAAACATTATCTCATGGAAAAGTAAGAAACAAAATGTAGTGGCTCGATCAACAGCTGAAGCTGAATATAGGGCAATGGCTTCATTAACATGTGAACTTATATGGGTGAAGCAGTTCCTTCAAGAGCTTAACTTCTGTAACATCCAGAGTATGAAGATGTATTGTGATAACCAAGCTGCTCTTCACATTGCATCAAATCCAGTGTTTCACGAGAGAACCAAACATATAGAAATTGATTGTCATTTTGTTCGGGAAAAATTATTGTCAAAAGAAATATGTACTGAGTTTGTTGGATCAAATGACCAACTCGCAGATGTGTTGACTAAGTCGTTAAGGGGACCTCGGATTGAGTTTATTTGTTCCAAGCTTGGTACATACAATCTGTATGCTCCAGCTTGAGGGGGAGTGTTAGAATAATTATTAAATCTACCTAGTATAGCAGGGCCTAAAGTAGGCAGTTGTGTGTTGGGGTATCTATAATGATTGTTCCTAGCAGTCTAGGACAATCTCTTCATCTTTCATCTATGTATTGTATCATATTTTTAATCTATATAAATGATAGAACTGAGAAGGGTCTTTCAAGCCCTTTAGAACTATTTTTCTCTGTTTTAGATCTCAAGTAACTTCTTGAAGGGTGCTCTCTTTTGTTGGAGTCTAGATGCAGAGCTGCTAACAATACCAGAGCCACTGCCTTCGCCTCCTCCCTTGGATGAATTGGAAAACCTGGCTGCACTTCCTCCCTCCAAAGAATGACTCCTAGTCTGTGGCAAGGGTTTAAAGCTAGTATTAGATCTCTGCACCATCAAAGATCCTCCCTTGGAAGTGATATGAACCTTTTCCTCCACCATTTGAGCCTTCATCATTAACTACGCAAGGCTCTTGGCCTCATACAACTTAACCTCTATCCTTATTTCGTCCTTCAATCCATTCAGAAAAATGCCAGTCAAATAATCATGCCTTATACCTTTCAAGAACATAAGCTTCTTCTCCTGCAAAAACAGGAATATCTAGCTTCCTTCATTTTTCCCCAATCACTCCTGAACTTCCACTTTCATTCCCTTAGTCATTCTTTAGATTGCCCGCACTGCCTTCCTTAGCAATAGAAGCACTATCTGTTGGTTGATTATCAGAGGATATGAAACGTTCCACCAACCCTGTCAGCCCTGTAATCATTTCCTCCAACCTTTGGAACCTTCTCTGATGTTCATATTCTTGTTCTTGCATTATGCGCTCGAATCCATCCAATCTTGCCTCCATTCTCGTATTGACCATGCCACACAACCACCATAGCACCAGGAAAGTGGCTTTGAATACCAATGATAGGTATTACAGACCTATACGAATGAACTTGGTTAAACTGTAAAATGTAATATAGCATTCATTGAACCTCTTAAGAGAGGACCCAAACAAATAACTTTCTGGTTATTAGAGAGAACTAGACTCTCCCTCCCTAACTTTCACAAATTACAAAATAAAGATAGAAACTGTTAAAACTGTCCATTCTGACTCTATAGAAGTTAGATGCAACTAACTACAGATGAATAACTACCTTACATATATTTAAAACTGTCTGTCATACAATAAACTAAATCATACAGTTTTCCTTTTGTTGTAAACCTTCCCTTTGTACCTATCATGTTGTTCACATTTTTTTTTGTTTAACCTTGTTTTATCCAAATAAATGAAGACTGAGTACCCACCTTTCAGGACCATTGATATACTTTTCTTTAATTGTATAATTATGGCATTGATCCTGCTCACTTTCCTGTGAATGTGAATTCACATAATTATTTTGATGTCTCCTTTTTGTCACAACCATAACCCGAATTATTAACATAAACATTTATAAGTTAAGACTTGTTTTTCAATATCATAATTTTTTTTTTAAATTAAATAAAGGGTTCTTTTTTTGGAGCACAAGGAATAGTTCATTTTAAAAGAAAACAAAATAACTTAATGTGACAAATGGGTTAAAGAATCATTATTATGAAGGGGAACAAAATGAACAAGCCAAGAATGGAGAATTCTTACAACTTACGAACATTTTTTCTGCATTTGTGTGAGATTTTCCTTGACTTATCAAACATACCAGATTGATGTTGCTACATGACTCTCGTAATGATGATGGGATTAAAAGTTTCTTCCAAGAGGTGCACGAGCTTTACATAAAGGTAATATGTTTGTTTTTTCTTGCTCACCCCAATAACATGTTTCATATTTATCATTTCATTACTTTTTCAGTTTCGTATGTGGCCTTTTCTTAGTCTACAATATCCCTCTCTGTTAGGATATAGGGTATTTGGGATATAAGGGTATAATGGGAAATGGGATTAGGATAGAAGGTAGAGGAATTNCTTGGTTGAAACGGCTCGTACCCTTTTGCTTAGTGCTCATATTCCTGTTCATCACTGGGGGGATGCCATCTTAACTGCATGTTTTCTTATTAATAGGATGCCCTCCTCCTCCCTCAATAATAAAGTCCCTTTCTCCATTCTCTTTCCCAATGATCCTCTCTTTCACACCTCTCCTCGCGTCTTTGGTTGTGTTTGTTTTGTTCACGACATGTCTCCGGGGCTCGACAAGCTCTCTGCTCGTGCGATCAAATGTGTCTTTTTGGGCTATTCTCGGCTTCAAAAAGGGTACCGGTGTTACTCCCCTGAAACCAAAAAGTACTACATGTCTGCCCATGTTACCTTCTTTGAACAGACACCTTTCTTCTCGCCCTCTGTTCAAGATGTTCATATCCTCCACCAGGTCCTTCCTCTTCCAGTGGTTGAGTCTAATATCTCCAATCCCTCAGTCAGTCCAAGTCATGCCCAAGGTCCTCCCGAACCTTCCTCTCCCCATACTGATATCCTTCGACACAGTACCCCGGTGAGTAATCCTCTTCCAGCAAATGGTGGATCTCCTCCTTCAGATTCTTCTCCGTCACCATCTCCTGTCACGCCTCCTGGTGAAGATGATTCTGGTTGGCCCATTGCTCTCAGAAAAGGTACTCGTTCCACTCGCAACCCTCATCCCATTTATAATTTTCTTAGTTATCACCGAGTGTCGCCCTCCTTTTATTCCCTTTTATCCTCAATATCTCCTGTGGTTATTCCTAAAAATGTGAAAGAAGCACTTGATCATCCTGGATGGCGACAAGCCATGATTGAAGAAATGCAGGCTCTTGACCACAGTCATACTTGGGAGCTTGTGCCACTTCCCCCGGGCAAAAAGGCTGTTGGTTGTCGATGGGTATATGCCATTAAAGTCGGCCCTAATGGTGACATTGATAGGCTCAAAGCCCGACTGGTTGCAAAAGGGTACACTCAGGTTTATGGTCTTGATTATTGTGACACCTTTTCTCCCGTGGCCAAGATGACTACCATTCGATTGTTCTTTGCCATGGCTGCCATTCGTCATTGGCCACTTCATCAGTTGGATATCAAAAATGCCTTTCTCCATGGTGATCTTGAGGAAGAAGTGTATATGGAGCAACCTCCGGGGTTTGTTGCTCAGGGGGAGTCTGGTATGGTTTGTAAATTGAACCGATCTCTATATGGGCTCAAGCAATCACCACGTGCTTGGTTTGGAAAGTTTAGCTCCATTATTCAAAAATTTGGGCTAAAACGCAGTGAAGCAGATCATTCAGTCTTTTATTATCATTCGTCTCCCGCGAAATGTGTTTACTTGATAGTATATGTTGATGATATAGTTATTACAGGAAATGATGCTGCTGGAATATCTCAATTGAAGGAGTACTTGTGTAAACATTTTCAAACCAAGGATCTTGGGAGCCTCAAATACTTCCTAGGCATTGAAGTAGCTCAGTCAAAAGATGGAGTTGTAATCTCCCAAAGGAAGTATGCTCTGGATATTTTGCAAGAAACAGGCATGATTGATTGTAGACCGGTTGATAGCCCTATGGATCCAAATCAGAAATTAACAACAGAAGGAGGTGAATTATTCTCCGACCCGGAGAGATATAGGAGGCTAGTTGGAAAACTAATCTATCTCACTATTACAAGGCCGGATCTATCTTTTGCAGTTGGAGTGGTTAGTCAGTTTATGCAAGCTCCATGTGTTGGCCATTGGAATGCTATCATTCGAATTCTAAGGTATGTGAAAAAGGCTCCAGGGCAAGGGCTGTTATATGAAGAAAAAGGAAGCCTTCAAGTATCAGGATATTGTGATGCTGATTGGGCAGGTTCTCCTATTGATAGACGATCTACTACTGGATATTGTGTTTTCCTTGGAGGAAACATTATCTCATGGAAAAGTAAGAAACAAAATGTAGTGGCTCGATCAACAGCTGAAGCTGAATATAGGGCAATGGCTTCATTAACATGTGAACTTATATGGGTGAAGCAGTTCCTTCAAGAGCTTAACTTCTGTAACATCCAGAGTATGAAGATGTATTGTGATAACCAAGCTGCTCTTCACATTGCATCAAATCCAGTGTTTCACGAGAGAACCAAACATATAGAAATTGATTGTCATTTTGTTCGGGAAAAATTATTGTCAAAAGAAATATGTACTGAGTTTGTTGGATCAAATGACCAACTCGCAGATGTGTTGACTAAGTCGTTAAGGGGACCTCGGATTGAGTTTATTTGTTCCAAGCTTGGTACATACAATCTGTATGCTCCAGCTTGAGGGGGAGTGTTAGAATAATTATTAAATCTACCTAGTATAGCAGGGCCTAAAGTAGGCAGTTGTGTGTTGGGGTATCTATAATGATTGTTCCTAGCAGTCTAGGACAATCTCTTCATCTTTCATCTATGTATTGTATCATATTTTTAATCTATATAAATGATAGAACTGAGAAGGGTCTTTCAAGCCCTTTAGAACTATTTTTCTCTGTTTTAGATCTCAAGTAACTTCTTGAAGGGTGCTCTCTTTTGTTGGAGTCTAGATGCAGAGCTGCTAACAATACCAGAGCCACTGCCTTCGCCTCCTCCCTTGGATGAATTGGAAAACCTGGCTGCACTTCCTCCCTCCAAAGAATGACTCCTAGTCTGTGGCAAGGGTTTAAAGCTAGTATTAGATCTCTGCACCATCAAAGATCCTCCCTTGGAAGTGATATGAACCTTTTCCTCCACCATTTGAGCCTTCATCATTAACTACGCAAGGCTCTTGGCCTCATACAACTTAACCTCTATCCTTATTTCGTCCTTCAATCCATTCAGAAAAATGCCAGTCAAATAATCATGCCTTATACCTTTCAAGAACATAAGCTTCTTCTCCTGCAAAAACAGGAATATCTAGCTTCCTTCATTTTTCCCCAATCACTCCTGAACTTCCACTTTCATTCCCTTAGTCATTCTTTAGATTGCCCGCACTGCCTTCCTTAGCAATAGAAGCACTATCTGTTGGTTGATTATCAGAGGATATGAAACGTTCCACCAACCCTGTCAGCCCTGTAATCATTTCCTCCAACCTTTGGAACCTTCTCTGATGTTCATATTCTTGTTCTTGCATTATGCGCTCGAATCCATCCAATCTTGCCTCCATTCTCGTATTGACCATGCCACACAACCACCATAGCACCAGGAAAGTGGCTTTGAATACCAATGATAGGTATTACAGACCTATACGAATGAACTTGGTTAAACTGTAAAATGTAATATAGCATTCATTGAACCTCTTAAGAGAGGACCCAAACAAATAACTTTCTGGTTATTAGAGAGAACTAGACTCTCCCTCCCTAACTTTCACAAATTACAAAATAAAGATAGAAACTGTTAAAACTGTCCATTCTGACTCTATAGAAGTTAGATGCAACTAACTACAGATGAATAACTACCTTACATATATTTAAAACTGTCTGTCATACAATAAACTAAATCATACAGTTTTCCTTTTGTTGTAAACCTTCCCTTTGTACCTATCATGTTGTTCACATTTTTTTTTGTTTAACCTTGTTTTATCCAAATAAATGAAGACTGAGTACCCACCTTTCAGGACCATTGATATACTTTTCTTTAATTGTATAATTATGGCATTGATCCTGCTCACTTTCCTGTGAATGTGAATTCACATAATTATTTTGATGTCTCCTTTTTGTCACAACCATAACCCGAATTATTAACATAAACATTTATAAGTTAAGACTTGTTTTTCAATATCATAATTTTTTTTTTAAATTAAATAAAGGGTTCTTTTTTTGGAGCACAAGGAATAGTTCATTTTAAAAGAAAACAAAATAACTTAATGTGACAAATGGGTTAAAGAATCATTATTATGAAGGGGAACAAAATGAACAAGCCAAGAATGGAGAATTCTTACAACTTACGAACATTTTTTCTGCATTTGTGTGAGATTTTCCTTGACTTATCAAACATACCAGATTGATGTTGCTACATGACTCTCGTAATGATGATGGGATTAAAAGTTTCTTCCAAGAGGTGCACGAGCTTTACATAAAGGTAATATGTTTGTTTTTTCTTGCTCACCCCAATAACATGTTTCATATTTATCATTTCATTACTTTTTCAGTTTCGTATGTGGCCTTTTCTTAGTCTACAATATCCCTCTCTGTTAGGATATAGGGTATTTGGGATATAAGGGTATAATGGGAAATGGGATTAGGATAGAAGGTAGAGGAATTGTATAAATAGATTGTTTGGATAGTTAGAAGGGAGTTTTTGAGTACATTGTTTGTTAACAGGCCATTGACCTGTGAAGAGGGTTATGCCTCTAGATCTTGTATACACTATTTTTTCTGTTAATAATACACAATTCACCATATATTTCTCTCTGTTTTCTGGGTGTGAGAGACTGTGAGGGAGTTCTTGATTAGGTTCCTAGTTTAGGAACCTATCAATTGGTCCGACCTGCCGGATCAAGACGTCGCCAAAATCGGGTGGGGTGAAAGAAATTGCGGTTGATAGAATGACGGTGCAGACAGGGGAGCTGCGATCAGATTATACAGCAATATGCCAAGATTATGCTGCAATACGCCAAGATTATAGTGCAATACGCCAAGATTTGCAAGAAATCATAAGGATGTTTGGTGGTCGAGGCCACAACCAGGACGACCAACATTGGGACCGGCGAAAGGAAGAGGAAGGGGAGAGAGGGGATGAACGCCATGAAGTGCAACCCAGCGGGGAGAGGAGAGTAGATTTACCCGTTTTCGAAGGGTTTGATGCGATGGGGTGGATTGCTAGGGCGGAGACAGTTTTTGAGACCCAGGGGGTGAAGGAGGAAGAAAAGGTGCGTCGGGCAGCCATTAGCATGGAGGGAAGCGCGGGTTACTGGTTCAGAGCCTGGAAGGAGAAAGCCAAGAATCGTTCTTGGAATGGTTTGAAGGAAGCCCTAGTGATACGGTTTGGAACCATCGTTGAGCGTTTGGCGGCATCCAAACAGAAAGGGACGGTGGACAAGTCGACCTCAAGATTTTGGCAGGTCGAGGGTCAGAAGACGAGTCATTTGGGGGACGAATGCGAGGAGCCAACCACAGTTTCATAGGCAAGGTACTAGTAGAGGATCAGGGTTTACCCATGGAGGATACCCAACCGTACCAGGTGAGCTTGGGGGATGAGCAGAGGAAGAAAACCAACATGGACCGAATGGTTGAAGTTAGCGGGAAGGAACCGAACGGTAGATCGAGTGTTGCCGAGTGGTCCGAGGTCGAGCGCAATTTCCCAGGTGAGGTTGCCGAGCAGTCTGAGACAAAATTAGACCTGAAGCAGACGGAGTTGTCCACTCTCTCAACTGGAGGCCCTATTCAGCCAAAAGCAATGAAGCTGCAATGTTCAATAGGGGACCGAACGGTATTGACCATTAAAGGACGAAACCGAACGGTGGCCCACATTTTAGGAAGAAACTGAACGGTTTCGGCCATTATAGAACGAAACCGAACGGTGTTGACCAATATAGGACGGAACCGAACGGTGTTGACCATTATTGGACGAAACCTGGGGGGAGCCAGAAGGTTTGTTAAAAATAAAGGAAGTAGAATCGTGGACCTTGGTGTGGAATTTGGGGGTGATAAGAAGGAAAGAGGAAGAGTGGAAGTCATTAGAGGAGAAATGGCCACCACCCAAGCCTCCAGACCTGAATTGGAGGGCAGCATCCAGTGGGTCCCCTTCATATGGTAACAGTGGGTCCCCTTCATATGGTAACAGGTTGATGAAGAGGAGCCATGAGATCGAGTTTTCTGGTTCTAACCTTGAGGACAAGGTTGTTCTGAGGGGGGTGTAATGTTAGGATATAGGGTATTTGGGATATAAGGGTATAATGGGAAATGGGATTAGGATAGAAGGTAGAGGAATTGTATAAATAGATTGTTTGGATAGTTAGAAGGCAGTTTTTGAGTACATTGTTTGTTAACAGGCCATTGACCTGTGAAGAGGGTTATGCCTCTGGACCTTGTATACACACTATTTTTTCTGTTAATAATACACAATTCACCATATATTTCTCTCTGTTTTCTTGGTGTGAGAGACTGTGAGGGAGTTCTTGATTAGGTTCCCAGTTTAGGAACCTATCACTCTCTTTAAACGGGATTATGAGAAAGTCCATGTTTATCAGTTCCTTGAAGCATGCTTTGCTGACTACACAAAGTATCTGTTGGAATAAAAAAAATCTGGTCTCAGTCTTATCAAAATGTTTAATTAGCCACATTCTACGTTTTCCCCCTAATTACCAATTCAATGTTTCACTATAATAGGTATGCTAAACTACCTATTAGATACTTCGTACATTATTACAACTAGAATGACAATTGACAAACCGGTATTTTAAAGTTTTTGTGGTGATAGGTAGGATCACGACCTACCTTAAGATAAGTTTTGTCAAAGGCTCGGGGGCTGCATAGTGAGAGGTAGGATCTTGGCCAACCTTTAGATAAGCTCTGTCAATCGGACCTAGGAAAGTATGTAGTGAAGATATGACGTATTCAGGATAAGATTAATCACTTAATATTTATTAGGAATATAATAATACAAATATTAATGAGTAAATGAGAATATATTTGTCCATATAAATATAGAAAGATTTTATCATAGTTAAACAAAAAATACGTAATCTAGAACAAATCTAGCAAATAATATAGCAAATCCTAATACTAGTAGGTAGGATCAAATAATCATCAAATAAGGAACAAAATTAGGGATATGATCTTAATTTTAGCATAAAAATTATAAGCCTAGAAGGTTACTCAATTATAAAAGGAGTTGAAGAAAACATAGAAAAGTCAACAAACATCATGTGCTTTAGCAAAGGAGGTCATCTCTCTTGTCTAGAATATTTTAGTGCCCACAGTGGGGCCCAAACCCACGACAATAAGTTTAGGAGCAATTTTTAGAAGTGTTACAAAATTTCATCCTTACTAACTGTTTTGGAGAACAATATTCTTCCTGTATCAATATGCAGAATGCAAAATAAGTTCCCAATGGTTTCTTTTCGGTAGTTGGAGTTTCAGAGTTTTAACTACTACTTTTTGTTCTGCTCGAGAGGATAAGATTGGGAACACTCTTATCAGTAAAAGAAGTTGAAATTGTTAATTGTTCTCTTAATTTGATTGTGGGAATAAGTGCAAATTCTTATGTTAATTCTGTTTGTAAACTTCATTTCATGGATTGTTGAAATGAAGTAACTTTATTGTTTGTTTGGGAAATTGCAGACTCTCCTCAATCCTCTGTACTTGCCTGGCTCCCGGATCACGTCGTCGCATTTTGATACCAAAGTCCGAGCTCTTGCACGAAAGTATTTGTAGAAATTACTAATGTTTTTGTGGTTGCTAGTTCATATTGCTGCGATTTGATTATTGTCTTGTTCGTTGTTGATTAGATTTGAAAATCGGTCTCTCTTTAATCTTTTATCCATGATTTGGCAGCAAAGGGTAGGTTTACTGTTGTCTATAGTGTACCTCAGTCATTAGCAGGTGAGATGACTGTTTTTTCCTGATGAAAGCTATTGTTGACAAACTATTCGATATTTCGATTGCTAGTGACTTTCATTTGTAATAATATTGATCTTGTATTTAATGCTCAATTATTGCATTTTATACAGTAAAAACGATTTCTTGTATTATTTAATGCTTCATTATTAATAAAGTAAATTTCTAAATTAGTCCTAAAAAATTGAAAAATGATACTTGAACAACCATTTTTGACAACATTTAGACACGCGCACACGTGTCAAAATCTGAGTGGTCCAGTTGGAAAAATTAAATGAAAATGGACCACTCAGATTTTGACACGTGTGCGCGTGTTGTCAAAAATGGTTGTTCAAGTGTCATTTTCCTAAAAAATTACATGTCCAAAACGATATTCAAATATCTATACCCAAATAGTGTTGAGATTAATTCAGCTTTGAAAGTGGTGGAGAGCCCACAAGCACCTGAAAACCTGTTACCAATTGCCGAATTGATCCCGAAAGATAAACGAAGCCAGCTTTACGCTGGGTTTCCGTATGAAATAAGCATTGTCTGTGATGAGTGATTCCGCGCCACCTTGGTCTGTTTACGGAGAGTCAGATTGCATTTCTTGCTTCCAAATGACCCATCAAGCCATTGCAAAGATAGTGCCATCTGAACTTTTTATATTTGTTAGACAACTCCAGTTCTGTTGAGTAGAAATCCTGATTTCTATCCAACTCCAATTGCTTCCATACTTTATTTGAATCAGCACAACCACGTTTAAGATGCAACAGTTTCGTTTTCATCATGACCTGTAACCCAAAGGGTTAGAAGAACCTGCTACCGTGGAACGTAAGCTGCAGAAAGTGTCATACAACTGAGCATTGATCTCAAGGCAAAATAACTTTATTTCATTTTCATCGATGATATGGCTCTCAACTTCGCTCTTCACTAATTCTGAAACAACCTTGGTCAATCTTTCAAAATGTCGTGTGCCTTCGTGCTAGATCTTTCATAGATATGAATCCCAAAAAGGTTATGCAAAGAATCAGTCTAAAACCATGAAGACTGGACAAAATCAACAACAATCTGCTGGAATCAGTTTACTTGACAAAAAACAATATTAATTAATATGGATTTAACCATAAATTGTAACAATAGAATATTATATTGATTATATTTATTTTGTTTGTGTACCTTTTAACAGATTATTACTGTGTTGTTACGTTTACTATGATTTCATGTTAATTTTAAAAATTGTATTTTAGCAGTTACAAATCAAATTTTTGAAATTTGTATATAAAATTTAATTTTTAATATTATGACTTTAAATATTATATTATTTTCATTTAATTTTACTTAACATTTTATGCTTCAAAGTTAAAATAACATTATTTAATTGTTATCAATTTAATCACAATCAAACTATTAACTGACCTATAAGACACAAATACTACCCATTTTTATTATTTTACTTTTATTAACTTTTTTATTTTTAAGAATATAGAAAGCTACGGGTCAAGTTAATGTCATATCAAGCACTGCTTAGAAAACAGTTAAAAATGCTTTTTTTTTTCATAGCACTAGCTAGGCAGGTGTTCTATATTGTAACATGTACCATACGGTCTGACGGTCCAAAGAGCGGCGCCGATATCACCCAATCGTCAGCGTTTCTCTTATTTTTTTACTTCTTTGACAGCATTGCCTGACAGCTTGTATAAATACTCACTATACGCTACTTGACTCGACCATTCATCCTTCCACTCGGGTGAGTAACTATGTACTGTACAAATTGGGCGGTCCAGAGAGTAGCGCCAACACCCACCTAACCAGACGGTTGCACAGGATCGGCCGATAGGTGAACTGGGTCATTAAGACTAGGATTAAGGTAAATAGTGATTAAAGTCATTGGACTAGAATTGGGCCGTGATTAACTTTTCATTAATCTCAAGCCCATGGCGAAAACTATAAATACAGGTCAGAGGTAACTGGTAGATAGGTTGCACTTATTGCACATTTATTACTGCTCTGTTGAATTGCCGAACGGTTTGAATACTGACTTTGGCATCGAAGGATCTTTGACAGGTTCCCTCCCGGACGAAGGAGCGAGAGAGCGGAGCTTGGAGCGCGACCGGACGGCAAAAAGACAAATTGTGAAGGAGTTTGGTGACTTAGCCCCAATAACCGAAACATTTTGGCGTCCACCATGGGGCCGAGTTACTTACAAAACCCAATGGTGACCACGAGAAACATGAGTATGGACGAACCAGTGGAGATGATCCGGATGCTACATCAGAAGATGGAGGAGATGCATCAGGGTCATGAGGCAGAACTCATAGCCGTCAAGGCCGAATGTTCGGCGCGCATTGCTCGTGAGGGGGCAGAAGAAAAGGAAGAAGGAGAGCAGGCTAAGGAACGTGGCAAGGCTGCAATGGAGGACCAAGCCGAGCACAGCAGTGGGCCGGACAAGACGTTGAAACCCACAGAATCGGAGGTCGAGGGAAGCAAGGCTAAATCAGTCCACGCGGAGAGTGCCGCGGGGGACAAGCAATTGGTGATAAAAACTGAGACCTCGTCAACATTGTTACTCCCCTTCGTCCAAGCGATCATGGACGTCCAGATATCGGAGCAGTTCGTCCCGCCTCAGTTCAAAATATACGACGGGATGATGGACCCAGAGGCCCATATCAAAACCTTTTCGAACACAATGGCGTCCCGAACTGGCAACGACGCCATTTGGTGCCGAGCATTCTCCTTGTCATTGGAGGGGGAGGCGCTTGAGTGGTTTAACTCACTTCCCCCCAATTCCATCGAGAATTTCGTTGGACTACAATGCTTGTTCAATCGTCAATTCGCCAGCAATAGCACTCAGGACTTGACCGTCTTCGAGTTGGTCACCTTGAAACAGGGGAAGGAAGAAACTTTGAGAGCGTTTATGGATCGCTACCAAAAGACAGTCCGACGGGTGAAGGGCTTGAGCCTAGAACTCGCCTTGCAGTACATCCTACCTGTCCTCAAGCCCGGGCCATTCAAGGATAGCGTCTGGCGACGGGCGCCCAAGACTACGGAAGAACTGCGAGAGAGGGTGGTTGATGAAATAAGGGTGGAGGAGATGAAATTGTCGTACAAGAAGGAGAGTCAGGAAATCAAAACCAACGGGGGGAAATCGAGCGGTCAAGCTGGGAAATCTGGGGGGTTCAAGCAAAGAGAACCGCCCCAAGGACCACGATTCCAACAATACACCCCTTTGAACACCCCTCGGGCGAAAATTTTCCAGGAAGCTTTGAGTGCAGAGTTGATCTCGAAGCCGGAAAGACAACCCACTCCACTGGGGGCGGATGGAAACAAACACTGCTTGTACCATAAAAACATGGGCCACACCACGGAGGAGTGTGTGACCCTGAAGGATAAAATAGAAGAATTAATCCGTTCGGGGCAACTGAAGAAGTATGTGCGGATTGACCGACCACGTGCACCTATGGATCGATCGAGTCCACGACGGACCAGCCCTAGGAGACCAGAGAGACAAGAAAGGTCAAGAAAGGACCGGATCGATCGCCCACGATCGGAGAGACGACGAAGTAGAAGCCGCAGCAGAAGCCACGACCGTCCCCTGCGAGGACATATTAACACAATATTCAGTGGTTTCGCAGGAGGAGGATCTTCTTCATCCGCCCGCAACCTTCATGTGAGGGCCCTACGATCCGTCCACGCGGTTTATAAGCCCCGGCTGACGATGTCGTCCATTACATTTTTGGACGAAGATTTTCATGCACCCGACCCCGATCAAGATGACCTGATGGTTATAACGACGAAGATCGCCCGCTATAGTGTGAGTAAGGTGTTGATTGACTAGCGAAGCTCTGTGAACATCCTCTACTAGAAAACCTTCCAGCAGATGGATATTACGGACGACCTCATCGTCCCGTACAACAAGCAGATCGTCAGATTCGCGGGCGAAAGAGTGGACACCAAGGGGTATGTTAATTTACGTACTCGACTAGGCACCGGCCGGGACACTAACGAGAAGAAGGTTAGATACTTGTTGGTGGAAGCCAACACTTCCTACAACGTACTCTTGGGTCGGCCGTGCCTGAATGCTTTCGGAGCAATCGTGTTCACCCCCCATCTCACGATGAAGTATCCCTCAGACAAGGGGGCAATCTCCACTGTCCGAGCGGATCAAAAGACGGCTAGGGAATGCTATGCAGCAAGCCTGAAGCTTCATACCCACACGGTCAGAAGGAGGACAGGTGGATCTGTTGGAGCCCCTTGGGGAGACTCAGCCGGTCTTGAAAGGGAAAGATGCTGCCCAGACCACCGCTATGGCTCGTAGCCTGGAGCCTGAGTTAGAGAGAGAGATTTGGTCCGTTATGTGGAAGAATCGTGACTTATTTACATGGACGACCGCCGATATGCCAAGGATCCACCCCTCGGTCATGTCACATAAACTGGCCTTGTTCAAGGAGGCACGGCCGGTTGCACAGAAGAAGCGGCGGATGGGAGAGGAGAAGAGGAGAGCGGTTGAAGAGGAGGTGACCGGATTTGTTAGGGAGGTGACATACACCACTTGGCTTGCCAATGTGGTAATGGTGAAGAAGTCCAGCGAAAAATGGCGTATGTGCACCGACTACACCAACCTAAACAAAACCTGCCCTAAAGATTCTCATCCCTTGTCGAGCATAGACGCGTTGGTGGACGGAGCCTCCGGCCACCGGATGTTAAGCTTCCTGGATGCATACTCTGGGTACAACCAAATACCCATGTACGAACCTGATCGGGAGAAGACGGCGTTCACCACTAACAAGGCAAACTTTTGTTACGAAGTTATGCCTTTCGGCTTGAAGAATGTCGGGGCCACCTATCAGCGTTTGATGGATAGGATCTTTGCTGGGCAAATCAGTCGGTGTATGGATGTTTATGTAGACAATATGGTCGTTCGCTCACCGGACAGCCATCAACATGTGAAGGACTTGGAGGAAGTGTTCAAGCAAGTGAGAAGGTACGGGATGCGGCTCAGCCCGGCGAAGTGCACTTTCAGGGTAGCCGCGAGAAAGTTCCTCGGATTCATGCTCACCGCCAGAGGCATTGAGGCCAACCCCGATAAATGTTTGGCCGTGTTGGAGATGTAGAGCCTAGCCACCCTCAAAGAGGTCCAGAGGTTGGTCGGCCGGCTCACGGCACTATCTCGATTCATCCCTAAGTTGGCAGAGAGGGTACGAGCGGTGCTAAGGAAGATGAAGAAGGGGTCCAACTTAGTATGGGATGCAGAATGCGAACAAGCGTTCCAGGATGTCAAGGCCATCTTGTTGAATCCACCAGTGATGAACCGCTCGACGCTAGGGAAAGATTTGCAGATCTTTCTAGGTGTTTCTGAGTCAGCAATCAGCGTCGTGCTGTTACAAGAGCAACCCGAGCCTAGGCTCGTATACTTCATAAATCAGACCCTCTAGGAGGCCGAAACACGATATCAACAAGTGTAAAAGGTCGCCATGGCTTTGCTGAATGCTTCTAGAAGACTTCATCCGTACTTCCAGAGCTATCTGGTCGTCGTCCGGTCGGATTTCCCCATTTCTAAAATATTGCGGAAGCCCGACTTGGCGGGACGAATGGTGGGATGGGCGGTCGAGCTATCTGAATTCGGCCTACGGTATGAGCCAAGAGGATCAATTAAGGGCCAACACTTGGCCGATTTCATAGCAGAGTTGCCCACGGAGGTCAACGATGAGTGGAATTTGTACGTTGACGACGCGTCAGGACGATCTACGAGCGGGGCAGGTGTGGTATTAGAGGGCCCCAATGGCTTCTTGTTGGAGCATTCGTTAGTTTTGAAGTTCAAAGCCTCCAACAATCAGGCCGAGTACGAAGCCCTAGTGGCCGGCCTAGAACTGGCAAGGGATATGGGGGCCCGGAAGGTGGTGTGTCGGACGGATTCTCAGTTGGTTGTAAGGCAGATGAACGGAGAGTTCTAGGTGAAGGAAGAACACCTCCTCTAGTATTTCCACAAAGCAACTGCGCTGACCAAACTATTTGATAAGGTCGACATCCGGCACATCCCCCGAGAGAACAACACCAGGGCGGATATGTTGTTTAAGCTAAGCTCGGGAAGAGAGAAAGGGCAATTGACGACCATCATTCGCCAGGTCCTGCTCCCACCATCAGTTGAATGCTTGGCGGTATCAAGGGATGATGTCAGGGATTGACAGACTGAGATTCGAGCAATAATGACCCGACAGGACGCAGGACAGCCGGTGGAACCGGTCGACGCCAAGAAGATTGTCCGCTATCTTATGGTGGGAGACGACCTATATCGAAGGGGGTTCTCAACTTCTCTCCTTAAATGCCTCGGGATGCAAGAAGCGCAATATGTTATGAACGAGCTCCATAATGGAATTTGCGGATTTCATACCAAACGTCGATCTCTTAAGGCTCGGGTACTACGGGCCGGATATTATTGGCCAACCATGGAGGAAGACACTAAGGTCTTTGCTCAGAGGTGCCTCAGCTGACAGGCTCACGCTAATAGCACGCACGCCCTACCGCACACCTTGCACACTATGACATCCCCCTGGCCGTTCGCTCAGTGGGGAATGGACATAGTCGGCCCTTTCCCCGTAGGGCGGGTGTAGAAGAAGTTCTTGTTGGTGACAATCAATTACTTCACCAAATGGGTGGAGGTCGAACCTTTAGCGACCATCACAACGTCGTAGGTACAAAAATTTTGTTGGAGGTTGGTGTGCCGATTTGGCCTCCCACATACAATTCTTACGGACAACGGACGACAGTTTATTGATAAAAAAACTGAGAGAGTTTTACAAGGGTCTAGGAATCAAACACGTCACCAGTTCGGTGGAGCACCCCCAGACGAACGGTCAGGTAAAGGTCGTGAATAAGACAATCGTAGCCGAGTTGAAGTAGCGGCTAGGGGAGAGGAAAGGAGCATGGGTGGATGAGCTCCCAGAAGTGTTATGGGGCTACCGGTGTACTCTGCACGGAACGACCGAAGAAATGCCCTTCAACTTGACATACGGTACAAACGCCATGTTGTCGGTCGAGTTTGGAGAACCCTCCCTGCGGCGCCAGATAGAGGACCTTGGGTTAAATGATGAAGAGTTAAGGGTAGAGCTTGACTCACTGGAGGAGAGACGCGACCGGGCGGCGTTGAGGGCTGAACCGTGCAAGCGAATGGTGGAAAGAAGATACAACTCCAAGGTCCGGTCGAGGAACTTCCAAGAGGGTGATTTGGAGTGGAAGAAGACTGGAGAGGCACGACGGACGACCGCTCATTGCAAGCTCGCAGCCAAATGGGAAGGACCTTTCCGAATTTTAGAAGCCCTGGGAAACGGGGCCTACAGACTATTGTACCTGGACGGACGCCCCATTCCAAACACATGGAATGCCACTCACCTCAAATTTTATTTCAGTTAATAGTCATTTCTTATTGTACATTTTATTTTGAAATGATTAATACAATGAAAGGGCGTCCCACTTTTAGCAACATTTCTACAATAAGGACATAACCCCGTAAGCACTTAACCAAAAAGAAATTGAGTTGATGAACGGAGAGTTCCAAACGGAACCACTGTCAACTTGGCCAGGCGGTGAACAGCGAGTTCTTCCCGGAGAACCATTGCCGCCCAGATCGTTCGAAAATTCAAGTTGATGAATGAAGAGTTCCAAACGGAACCACTGTCAACTTGGCTGGGCGGTGAACGACGAGTTCTTCCCAAGAACCACTGTCGCCCTCGTCATTCAAAAGCCCAAGTTGATGAATTGAGAACTCCAAACAGAACCACTGTCAACTTGACCGAGCGGTGAACGGCGAGTTCTTCCCGGAGAACCACTGTCGCCCGGGTCGTTCAAAAGTCCAACTTGACGAATTTCTATCGCTAAAAGCCATTAGTAAAGATAGCAAGATAATAGAATCAAACGCCCGACAGGAAAGAAATAATAGCAGGCAAATTGAAGAGAAAAATGTATTGATGTGTAGGGGATATACAAAAAGTCAGCCATGGGACGGTATGGCCAACACCTAAATAGGTCAAGATGTTGGTCGACCAGCCACACAAACAAATACATCAAAATATGTAAAATAGAAAGCCAAAACCATTAACCAACTACTTAAAAAATTATTCGGCCCACAACCGTCATCATCACCCTCGGCATCATTCGCCGCATCATTAACGTCTTCAACTTCCACCCCCTATCGCCAACCCCGATGTTTAAAGGGTCCTCCTCCTCCTCCTGCGGCACCTCCTCGGCGGCCGGGGCATCAAGGTGAACCAGTACCCCGTCGAACACGTCCTTTTCAATATCAAAGCCAAGGGTGAACGACTCCTTGACTCCCATTAGGACGGACGCTTGGCGGAGAGCTTTATTGAAACTCTCCTCGTGCTAAAAAACGATACCCGTTTCCAGCTCGGATATTTTCTCCTTAGCCTTCGCCAAGTCGTCCATCAGCGCCTGATTCTTCTGAAGGAGTCCCCTCTCCATTTTCTTCTAGCGGGCAACTACTACCTTGAGTTGCCCGCACTCGTCCACCAGGCGGTCATAATTGTCTCGGGCGTCGCGAAGTCGATCTAATGCCTCGGCTAAGTCTTCTTTGGCTTTATCAAGCTCGGCTTGGAGCTCGTCGTTCTTCTTGTCGGACTCGTCCTGAGCAATCAGCATCTGCTCCATGGCCGCCCAAAGATCCTCAGAAGTCTTCTTCTCGGTGAGTAGCTCGGCCAGGACGTTCTCTGCTCCCTTGCGGTCAGCAAACTCCCTAAGATACCAAGCAAGAGAAGCCGCCCAGGTGGACATCTCCAGCATAGCATTTGTCACCTCTGGCTCCGACAAGCCCTCGATCAACGATCG